CTCAGGAATCACCATGTGCTGGTCCTTCACCTCCATGCACATCCCTGCCACAGGAGTCTTCCTTCCACCACACCCCCTCAGCAAGCAGAGTGCTTGCAGGTTATTTTCCTTAAACATGCATTTATCAAAGCATCTATGGGGGCACTCACGAAGCAAAACCAGCCTCCAGCACGTGGTCAGACACAGGAGCTCAGTGTCCAGCAGGACAAGCTGGGGAAGATCAATGTCATTCCTGGCAGGCGCAAAGGAGAACATGAACCTTGGGTGAACATGAGCAATAATCCTCTTTTAACAGAGGGGTGCTCTAGCTGAGGAATTTGCATCCACTGAGCTGTTTAAGCCCTTGTATCAAGTTTGGGCACCGAGTGAATGCAAATATCTTTAAATAAAGTCAAAGCAGAAGGCTGCTGGGTATCAGGCAAGCATTTAAACATCACGAAGCAACAAACGAAGTGATAGTCACTTGGCTCCGCATACAGCTCCAGTCATTTACACATCAAGCAGGTGAATTCAAGAGTGCAGAAATAGACCTGTAAATACACGGAGATTCTGCTTTTGCAGTAGTTCATTTTCAAATCACATCTACTTTGTAATGTACATTTGGGGTCACACTCTACCTCACAGCCCTCGCCTTGCTTTCCAAAACCAGCTGTTTCAGCTTGCTAGCTTTCCTCTGCAAGTGAGGAAAAGACAAGTAAACACCTAACTTTCAGTGTTGACACCACTTTCATCTTGCTAATTACTATTGTAAACTATGTACATATCCCAAAATGTCTACATTTCAGTGCAGCACATTCTTGCTACTTGTGTAAGTTATAAATGAAAAACACTCCCATGTTTTCTATTTTGACATTCTACTTCCCCCATCCAAATCTTAAGGTAGGATATTCCTGTGACAAAAATGCAACAAGGCAAACTGGAACAGAGCCAAGGCCCTCCACTCCTCTTGTAAGAGATGAATTTGTGACCTTTACTGACAAGTCTTATGGTACATCTTGATTTTTCACCTTAGCTCAGGCAGTCCAGTGTCCCCCCTCTCATGCTTCACCATCACCTCATTTTTGATTTGTAAGAATACTGTTTCTCATGATTTCTTAAGCGCTGCAGGAGAAAGCCATTCTTTAAGTGCTTTTCCATCCAAGTACCAGTCTGAGGCAATGGTGTTCAGCTGGTGAAACAGCACTTGCATTTGGAGGACAAGCTTTAGTCAAAGTAGGAATACCAGAACTATACAGTGCCCCACATAGTGTAGATCCAAGCTCTCCAGCCAGACTTCCCTCTAGTTGGTGCTGCAGGCACCCTCCTTACCTCGGTAAGCCATGTTATCACGTGGCAGCCTTAGCTAAATAAAACTGAAAAGATGGGAGCACGGAGATGGAAACACCAGCTTGCTGTCTAATTCCAGCACCCAGAGAGAAAGCTGTTGAGACAAAGAATCAGTGGTTTAGGGAGGCAATGAGGAATTAATTATACAAGAAGATACTTCAGGTTATCACTTAACTGGATTATAGATGCTGGCTGCCTGGGGCTTTGCTGTCTCCTTGCATGTGCTCCTTTGGCAGCAGCCTACCTTCTGCTCCAGCCCAAAATTCACACCTACCCCAGGCACGTCAGCCAGGTGGTTCTCTTTGTTTGCCACTCCTATCTCTTTATGCCCTTAGCAACCTAAACTATTCCCTTATCCTCATCCAGAGCTAAACCAGCTATGGAAGCAAACCTTCACAGCCCGCCCTATGCTCTTCAGCTGAATTATTTCAGCTGCCTCATTCCTTTCTAGCTCTTCCTGTTCCTTGTGGTATATGCTGTCACTCCAGTTACATGCCTCTGGTCTGCACAGTGGTCCATCTATCACCTGTCTGAAAATGTGAAGTCTCCATCCATTTTCATCTACTGACACCAATACCAGAAAGCATTTACAGCACACACCTGTGTCCTGTTCTGATCTTCCTAGTCTCACTATAACGTGTGTCTCTCCAGTTATCTTTAGTGGTTCACCCTGTGACAAGTTTCACTTGTTTTTCCTACAAAATAAATCCCCAGATGAAGGCTTCTGGCAACTTGGGTGTGCTGCCATGCTTAAACATCACAGGATGGGCTGATGGTGAACTGGCCAATGTAAAAGAACCCAACAAAACGACATAGTTGTAGGAGCCATAAGAAGTTACCCATTTAAACTACTGACTATTAGCCTTAGGCTTCTGGAGGCTCATGTTTTACTGAATGCTAGCCAAACAATGCCCATACACTAACTCCAAATGTTTTTATTCTATTTAATCTTGTATTAAAAAAGATGAATAACTGTAAGCTGGAAGGGCTGGGAAGTTGAGAAACCACAACAGACCACAGAGAGCATTGCACACAGAGACCATCACATCAGTTCAGCACAAACAGTTGTAGCAATCCTAAAAAGACAAGGTTTCAAAAGAAATGCCAGAAATGGTTTAATCCGAGTGAAACCAGATGATGACATTTCTTCAGTTTGGACCCATTTAGCCAATCTCAACGCCTACGAATTCACATTCTCCATTTCTCAATCAGATACAAACAGGGACTTTCTTGTGATGGTTGTGAACATTTTATTATAGTATTATCAATAAATTACCTCTCTGAAAAATCAGTTTTTCAGAACTAAAATCTAATCTGGCAGGGTTCAATAAGTAACAAGATGAACTCAGCCATGCAAACAAAATATTACTAAGTTACTTTAATAAAATCTTATCATAACAACCTCAGGAAGAAGAGCACGTCCTAGAGACTTAGGCAGTTAATCTTGGCTTTTGATTAATATTTTGGATTCTTTTTGTTATGCCCCAGCCTCTGGTACACAGCTGTCTTCATTTTGATGCTAGAACAGGATCTTTGGGTGCATATATGCTTGTGATTCTTGTCGTACTTTACAGCACTGTAATAAAAATAGTACCAGTGTCCAGTGCTCATCACAGTACATCTACACAGCTGGTCATCGCACTGACTTCAGAGAAACTGAGCTTATTCCTAGACAGTGATTGCTCCCAAAAGGTCTAGCTCCCAAGTTGCACCATTCATTTTCTCTTCAGCACCTCTTGTGATGTTTATTAAAGTAACTTTATTGGGTTATGTTGCACACAATAGGATATTCAGAATTCAATCTTGACCTTTGCAGCAGTATCTAATACTGTCTGGAAGATAACCAACAAACATTTTCTTTGTATACACACTCAGCATTCTGAGCTTGCACCTACTTGTTGACAAATGCTTACCAGTTTCAATTACATACAAGAAAACCTAAAAACATTAAGACATCTGAAAATAAGCATTACCGTATTTTTAACGTATTTTGGATGGTTTAGATCAACTTATTAATTACTTTTGATTTCCAGGGCTTGATTACACACAACTTTTACAAAAACAACATGTCTTAACATTAATCAATGGTAACATTTAAGATTTTTTTTATTGTGCAAAACTTAAGCAATAAATCTTATTGGTACAATGGGCTGAAAAAGCAAGGGATATTTAAAACAACATTCACATTCAGTATATAATTTTTACCTTACTTCCACCTTTTGATGTGGAGTCTAGAATTCCCATCAGTAAGTGCTATCTGAAAATACCAATAGTTTGTTTCACCTTTTGTTATTTGGAGGAGATTCAGAATATTCTTTTGAGTTAGGTTTTTACACACAGTTAAAACAGCTCTTTAAGTTGATAAATACAAATTAAGACACTGAAAAGGGTGAAAAAATACATACTGAAGGCATCCACCTAAAAGGTGATAATTTATAGCTTATATTCAAAAATAGCATTGATATTCTGATTTTCCATTTTGAACTCAAGATTTTACCCAACGTTTTGTTTAAAAATTCTGGTGTCTGCTAATTGAAAAAGTAATTTAATTAAACAGTTAATTTTAATTAAAATCTTTAGCTTGTCAGGTATTAAGTGCTACCAGTCAAGGCAGTCACAAAGACTGTTTGATGTTTACATAGCAACATATAGATGAATATCTCCTTCAGAAAGATGGCATCTGGCTGGGAACATAATCAGAGTATTTTCTGACTATTTTAGGTATCTATCTTTGCCTTCCATGTCATAAATATGTGCAACAATTCATTACTTTGAGAAAAAAAATTCACAGAGTTCCACTCAAGCTTTAAGACGGTGCAATTATTAATTCAAATTCTTTACATATAAAAGTATCAAGGACTCTTCAGTAGTCAATTTCATACTCAAAAGCAGATCAATAGCTTTATGTAAACTTGTTAAAAAACAAACTACGACGTAATTTGGCTTTAAAGTGACAAAGTATTTTGCTTAATATAATTTACTAAGCATGTGAAGAACTAACATCAAACAACAATTTCAAAAAGATGCAGAGACTGGATTATCTCTGATATTGAAATATTCAATTAAAATAGATAATTAAATAATCTCCAAAACATGTAATTATAATCTGTTACAGTGGTATATTGTTCATTCCAGTAATAATCCTTCCTATAAGGAGGCTGCGTGTTAACTAAAATACACTAACCTACTGTAGTTCCCAATTAGAGAACATCGACATTCTCCCTCTGCTTCTCCTCTGTCCCAAATTTACTAAAAAGTGGACTAGGTTTTCTACCTAAAGAAAAAGGGAATTATGATCACTATCCATATGGCCTTCCTCTAGCTCTAATCAAAATCTTGTCAACTTACCTACAATTGTTAGGTTTAGGCTAGTAACAAATCTTGCAGTAAAGTGTTAAAAATAGTTGGAGTAATTAACAAGCCACCTTCTGTGTTTTAAATCACTGAAATCTATATAAAAAAATATTTAGGGAAGCATGAGTGCTGGTGACATCATTGACTCTTACAAACTGAGCCTTCCATGAAAGCTGCACAGATGGAAAAAGATGCCTTGAGATAAATGGAAATAAAATCCAACAGAAGAAAGATTTTCTAATACTGAGCCCCAATTCTTTACAAACTAACACACTTATTTCAGTGACAGACACTGCTCATTAATTTGGCTCTGTCCTCCCAAAATCAGCTTCCTAAGCTGTTATCACCCCAATAATAATAAAAAAACCCAACCCACCCTCTTAAAATATGGCATATGGAGTTCTGGATTCCAAAAATAAGATATATAGGCAATTTCATATTCTTGCTATGAAACATCATCTAAAAACCATGAATATTTATAGAGAAACCAAATTGCATTTTATACACTATACCTGTATTGATACAGTTCTCTGTGTTAGTGAAGAATTCAGCATTTTTAGAGGTCAACGTGCAAAATTCAATTGAATTTTGAAGAAAATTCCAATTAAAAAAATTACATGTAATTTCATATATGACAAGCCAATAATCTAAAGACCAATCTCAAACAAAGCTGTACAAAGTTTGCTTCAAATCTCCCTATTCCCCCCCAAAGGCACTCAGTGGTTTAAGTGTGCGAATGGCTTCTTAGAAGAAACAGTGTGCAAACAGAGCCTATTCCATTAGTTCCATGTTCTTTAGTGATTTCCTAGACAGTATTGTTATCAAATGTTATCTATGGCATGACTTTCTAAGGAACAGGACACAGTCAGTCCACAGAATCACAGATATCTTTCACTTTCTGATTGAAGTCTTCGGGTTGATCAGCATACACGTAATGACCTGCACCAAGGATAGCCTAGAGAATAAAGGTGAAGAAACAGGTCAAATTCACAAGTATGTAATAAGGAAATAAATACTGGCGTATGTGAAGAACCTCACTTTTACACATTACCTGCTTGGTATGTTATTGCTTAAAAACATACATGTCGCAACTGGTACTGATTTCTTGCACCCAGCCTGTGTTAATGCAGTAAACACAACTGCTGCCAGGAGGTGGTATTGTACAGCTTAAAAAGGACTGTTAACATAAGGAAAAAGCTTTTCAAGTTCCATTGAAGGAACTTTCCTACACAGGAAGAGGGGGTAAAACTACTGCTTATTCAATTGCACACCACACCCTCTTGAAAAAACCCAACACTATTCAACAAGTCACTGCAAAGCAAACCTAGGATAACATGCTTTACATATCAAACTTCTGATTCATCTTCACCCCCTTCATTCTGCACTCAAAGAGTTCTGCCAGGTTGCTCTTTGGTTCTGTGTTTGTATTAGAGACAGCATCAAATCATTTGTGTTCTCTTACTATAAAAATGATATGGAAGAGACTAAAGAAGAGACTACTAAGACAAATTAAGAACTCGGAAGCTTAAATTGATAGGGATCTTCTAGATTTGTGGAAGCAAATTTCAACCCTCTGAATTAACAACTACTATTTTACACAGGGTCAAGTAAAATCCAAATGATGCCATATGGGGGAGGAAAACCTCACATCTGTGACCTAAATTATTTCACAGCAACCATGTAAAGGTTAAAGGCTTAAGTAACCACAAATAGGGGTGTTTCCCTATTTTTATAATTTACCATTCTTTGCCAAAACTGGTACAAAGCAAACCATCACCATAATGTACAGCAAAGGTACTTCACCTATTTTGTTTCCATTTCATAATCAGTCCAAGACTAATTTGTATTTAAATCTATTTTTCCACTCCCTCCATTAAAACACTCCCTCTTAAGTCTCTAACTGAAATCCACAGAGGTATAGATAGGTTACTGTGTTAAGAAAACCCACAAACTCAACCCCTCCTAAAAATTAATTGGAAATAAACACACATAATAAAACCCCAGAATCTCTACATTGTACCAAGGATGGTACTCCTAGTATCTCAGCCTCATGAGAATCCTATTCCGCCTATGGAATTTCTACCACTACAATTTACCTTTTAGAATCTGTGTTTGGCTTGATGAAATTTTAACCTGGAACACAATGAAGTTTTCCAAAGTCCCTTCTAAAAACCATTGACCAGAGTGGAAAATTCTGCCTGAATGGTATATGGTTTTCCTAGAAAAAGTCACTTCTTTACAGTGACTTTTGTTACAACTTTCTCTCTGGTTAAGCAGTTAAGAGACTTTTTGTCTGGATGTCAACATTTGTGCTCTTTAACACATGTAAATAGGTCAATAATGCTATATCAAGAATATAAAGTTTTATATGAATGATTTGTTGTAGTATACTATCAACATCACGTAATGTACACTTCTGTCTGGATAGACCTAGACATCAGTTAAAAAGACTACTGGTATATTCAAACGATATTTTTATCACCTCAGCATTGCAAGGTATAGGCATATTCAATTATCACGTCTGACTGAAGTGACAATGTGTGAAGAATATTTTCAGATGCGTTTGTTTTTATAGAAATAAAAAAAAAAATGCAGTGTGCACATTCACATCATTGCAAGTACACACATTTTAAATGGTAATGCCATACCTCTAAACAAGAATGTATCAGCTAGGAAGACAAGACTAAGTATTTTTTTAAATGACTTAAAGAAAGACACTCACAAGAACCTAAGCACCAGGTACAAATCACTCTCTGAGCAGAGAAACAAAAGCACTATACAGACAGATAAGAACAGTTTCTGAGACCCTACTCATTACATCATGCATATATGCAGATACTAGAACTGCTGTGGTTTAAAACACAGACAAACCCCCAGATACTTACCAGTGACCACAAAAGCTACTTGTATTAGCACACTGTAGAGCAAAATATTTTGTAGAGCAGAAAAATGACCTTGCTCAAAGATCTAATTTAGCTTCTAGTGCTACAGTAAGTTTCCTTCTTACTCTGGGAACTAAATACTCTTCTGTCTAGGTTTTCTCTGATCTAACACTTGTTTTCTTTCTCTTTCTGTTACAGAAAACAGAAGTTATTACCCCAGGCTTTAAATCAAAGGGCCAGCATTTCCACAGCTGGTATAAAACCACATAGATATTGATTTAAAGGAATCCACACAATAAACAAACAACTGCTTTAAAAATCAACTTACTATTGTCTTCACATATGAATTTGGTCTCAGAGACTGGATAGTGCTGCCAGAATTGCCATCTATACATGAACGTGCTCCATAGACCACAGTGATAGGAATGTTTTGATCCATTTGTGGAATCCGTTGCAGCATTGGCCTTTTTGCCCATCCGTAAGGGATCGTCATGTTCTTGAAAGCTGTTTCACCACTTCAAGGCATTCAAAAGGGAAAAAACAATTAAATTTCCATTAGATACGCCTTCTCTCTGCTTTTTGGTAACATAGAGTGCAACAGTACACAAGGCTGGGATTTTTTACTATTAAGAAATATATATTTCCAAAGTTTGCATGTAATTTTCAACAGAAAGAGCCTCTGTTTCTACAGTACTTAGTGATTAATACTTAAAGGAATGAAAGTCCTTATTTTTTAAGTTAGTTTTTTTTTTAAAGAGATTTTAATTTTAAGAAATTCAAGATTAGTGCCCAAACTCTCAGAAGTATCACACAGGTAGTTTAAAGACATACAGAATTAGGATAACTTTTACACTTACCAGTTTCTGGAATCCAGAAAAAGGACATTGCTATTTTTTTCTTCAATTAATACAGTAAGTGTTACAATTTCAAGAAAAAAATAACATGCACACAGTTGCCATGGCCATTGGAGGGAGTAGCAGGCACTCTCTAAATGAAAGACAGACTTCAAAACATACATTGGGAAACTCACGCTCACCTGGGTGTCTGTACATTGCAGTGATAGATATATTCAGCCACAGTGTTATCATCAAACATCGATGAATATTTTCGTTTGAAATCTGGCCTTAAGCGCTGAACAAGGCTTAATCCTGTTAAAACAGAAAACACTATTAGGAGGAATTAGTATAGACAACTTTATCAGATTGCCAACGTTTCATTACAACACTTCAAACTCATTTTCCCTTGAAACTCAAGGCTAAGGTTGATGACTTTTAAACCTATGTTTTGTTTCACCACTTGCATGTCTTAGGAAAACATGATGGCATTACACCAAACGAATAAAACACAAATATTCTTAAGGATTTTATGCTGCATCAATCCCTGATGAACACATACGGGGAATGTTTGAGAAAAGACACTGCAGCAATAGAAGAAACATGCAAAGGGGTCCAGCAAAAGGCCTACGCAGAGTGTCTTTTTGCCCAGTTTATTCTCATGATACCAACACTGTCTTTCTTCTTGTTCTGGCAGCACTGCGTGGGCCAAAAGCATCCCAACTTTCAGAGCCAGAATACACAGTTGAAAAAGCTGGGCTGTTTTATTTCTGTAGTAAGTCTGTGCTTTCCTTTAACAGAACAGTCTTACTTTGAAGCTAGTTCATCTAACTAGTGTTTAGTTGAAAGAAAAAAGGTCTATGCTGAAAAACAGGTGTAGAAATCTTGACATAAGTGTAAGACACAAGAACTGGCATAAATCAAGAGATTTAACCTAGGAAACCTATTATCCCCATGCTCTCTTAACAGCCAAATTAGAGAAGTGGGTCCCTTCAAGGGCCAGTTCAGGCTTTCTAAAATTAAGCTCCCATTCTGAATCACTTCTTTTAAGGAAGAAGCCTCTCCCAGTTGACCAGACGGATCTCTGGGACAAGTGCCTCACCACAAACCTAATCTTAGTCTAAGAATGTGGCTGGATGTAGGACTGCAGGGTGGGGTCTCATGAGAGTAGAGAGGGAGAATCCCTCCCTCCACCTGCCAGACACGCTGCTGTGGACGCAGCCCAAGACACGGTTGGTTTTCTGGGCTGCAAGTGCACACTCCTGGGTTATCTTGAGCTTTTCATCAACCAACACCCCCAAGTCCTTCTCCTCAGGGCTGCTCCCAACCCATTCTCTGCCCAGCCTGTATCTGTGCTTGAGACTGCCCCTACCCAGGTGCAGAACCTTGCACTTGGCCTTGTTGAACTTCATAAGGTTGGCAATGGCCCACCTCTCAAGCCTGTCCAGGTTCCTCTGGATAGCATCCCTTTCCTCCAGCCTGTCAACTGCACCACACAGCTTGGTGTCATTGGCAAACTTGCTGAGGGTGCATCAATCCCACTGTCCATGTCACCAACAATGATGTTGAACAGCGCTGGTCCCACTGTTGACGCCTAAAGGACACCACTCATCATGGGTCTCCACTTGGACATTGAGCTGTTGACCACAACTCTTTGAATGTGACCATCAGACAATTCCTTATCCACTGAGTGGTGAAATCCATGCCTCTCCAGTTTAGAGACAAGGATGCCATGCAGGATGGGGTCAAATGCCTTGCAGAAGTCCAGGCAGATGACGTCAGTTGCTCTTCCCTCATCCACCAGTGCTGTAACCCCATTGTAGAGGACATACAATTTGCCCTTAGTGAAGCTGTGTTGGCTGTCATCAGTCACCTCCTTGCTGTTCATGTGCCTTGGCATAGTTTCCAAGAAGATCTGCTCCATGACCTTGCTGGGCACAGAGGTGAGCCTGGCCAGTAGTTCCCTGGTCTTTTCTCCTTTTTAAAAATGGGGGTCGTATTTCCCTTTTCCAGTCAGTGGGAATTTCACACTGTTGTTAATCTGTGCAATTATGATGATGTCACTTCTTCCTACCTGTCCCTGGCCAAAGGCCTGGTACTATTTATGCAGACCTTGTCACAGTGATCTATGCTTTTGTAACCTTCAGATTAGACTATTGCAACATGCTCTTATGTATGCCTTAAATCCATTTAGAAAACTAATACAGTGCAAGAGAAAATAATTCCCTTACGAAATAGTGATATAAGTCCTGAAGCAATGAAGATTTTGCAAACATTCTGCAATTTTCTCTGTTGCTTTTATTTTCTTTATAGAAAGTTCAGGACTTCTGTCTTTTTTCTGTTTGCCTGTTTGTTGTTTAGTTTTGGGGTTTTTTTGAACACAAACAATACAGCTGGCTTGGACTAAGAGTACCTGGAAGAAAGAGACTAATTCTGTGTCTTTCCCTGCCATGCGCATTAAAGTCACAGCATCCCCATTTCCAGTAACTGCAGGACTGAAAGTTACCAAACTTTAGAATTCACTTTCCATTTTAGTAAGAAGCGTTTTCCCTGTGGGTCCAATCGCAAAACCATTCTCCTTCTGTGGGAATTTACAGTGGAGAATGAAACAAGGAGTCAAGGCACCTTGGAACAAATTTTGGAATGAAATCCCACTGGTTTATTCTTGTAACGTTTACTGAAGACACTCTCAATTGTGGGGCTGATGTTTTACATAGTGTCTATGGAAATGCTAAACTAACACTGAAGACTCTTGAGTTGCACAAGAAGGGTGTAGTCACAGTGACATTACTGTTGTCCTGAGGAATTTTCAGGCATTCAGTTCTAGGAATGGAATTCACAAATCCAACCTAAGCACCAAAACTCTTCCAGTAAAGTGAAGGAAAACATGCAAATCAGCTCACTGGAAACCACTCAAAGAGAAAGATCTCTTTGGATTCAGTCTCTCTCCAAGGTTTACGTATCTGCCTGTGGGTCTGATTAAATATCCATGTGATACCATTGTGATATCCCGAAGAACCTACCTCTCATTTAAGTGACTAACTCAAACCTCTGAACAACAGCAATTTGCTTTACAGCGAGGATCAGCCAGCCACGCCTGCCCAGCAGAATAAGCACATGTCCAAGCAGAAGGAAACCTGGGTTTGGTTCAAAGGTTGGGTTTGATGCCTACCTTGCAGCAGTGTTTAAACTTAACCTTCTCTAAGAACTATGCTTCACTTGTCAAGAATTGCACATTAAGTTGATGATGGAAAACTTTTTAACACATGGAGTGATAAATAGATGAAAAATTTTGAGCAGCACTGCCCTCCACAGCAACCTGTAAGCAAGACTAGGTTGCGGATATCTTGCCAAGATGGGGCCTGTTTCTGCAGCATGGTTTTAACTGCATTTGCTTGCTAAGGGAGACAACCTCAGCTTTGAACTCTTCCATGTGGATTGATCTATGCATGCATTTTTTTATTGGATAAAAGGCATTACGTCAGTGCTTCTCACTAATATGCTTCAGGTTATTTTAGCATTTTACTTAAAAAAAAAAACTGCTTTTCTTGCTAAGGGAGACAACCTCAGCTTTGAACTCTTCCATGTGGATTGATCTATGCATGCATTTTTTTATTGGATAAAAGGCATTACGTCAGTGCTTCTCACTAATATGCTTCAGGTTATTTTAGCATTTTACTTAAAAAAAAAAAATGGTTTGCACAAACATGCTGCTTGTCTGAAAACCTGATTTTGTCACACTCCCTAAAACAATCAAATAAATTAAAACATATATTTTATAGAAACAGATTTAGGATACAGATGTGGTTTAAAAGTAAACAAAGTCTAGAAATGTGGCTAGTTCATCTGCAGACTGAATACTAAACATGATGAAGAGCCAAGTTAAGTGTAACATGTGAGGGGTCTGAAGGTTATCATTTTCCAAGCCTCTCTAGCAGATACTCCTGTAGTACAGAGAGTAACAGATAATCTCCCCATCAAATGTCATGACTTTAAGATTTGATCATACCCTTTTCCCTCCATAAACTAAAACCGCAGTCACTGGTCACCCCTACCTAGTCCTAGTATTAGGATATATAGAGTTTAGCTATCATCTCTTCACTGCTGTGAATAAATGTAAAAATATGCAGGCTAGACAGCTACTGGACGCCAATGGATCCCACAAAATTTGTTAGAATAGTAAGAAAATGGCTAATGGAAAGAATCCAGTTTCAATTTAACTTCTTTAAACTCAGGCCAAAGGCAAATGAGTTTATGAGAGACTTCTAACATTACCCAAATCTGGAAATCCTGTTTGTCATCAAAATGCAGTTGGGAGGGAAACTAAATGGGCTGTGACTGGAGGCAACCAGAAAAACCACCTTTTCACATCCATGTCTCTTTGTCAGGCTTTCCCAACAGATATCCACATAAACCGTCTCGTTATAACTGCAGTCTAGAATAATATACTGTAGCTTGCTATAAACTATCATATTAGTATTTCTAATAGAAAGAGCTTGCCCTCTTGTCCTACATATCATCTTCTCTCATCCCCTCCCACTTTCTCCTCCAGCTCTTTTCCACATGGGCTTGCAACAAAACTTATCTTCATGTGGTATCTGCTTCATGTTTATGTTCAACTAAAACAAAAATGATATTTAACAGTAGCTAAAACTCACCAAAAGGTCCTGCTATCCTCAGCCCAGCTAATGGATTAAATGGACTCAATATAGCTCCTAGTGCTTTGATCCAGATTGGAATTGGTCTTTCGTGTTCAGCATTGTCAGGCCTCTCTGGAAAACCCCATGGCTCCACTAAGATAAGATGTTTGACCCTGTTGGCAGAAAAAGTTCAAAGGTTTAGAGTACATTATTTTTCTTCAACTGAGTACAACAGAAATGTATTATCTGTGGACTTTGCAACCTGTTTTAGTCAATTCTATCACAGTGGCTTATTACCAATGTTTCTGATTCATCAATGGTTTTGCTTTCCGTTAATAACTAGAGTGACTGAATTGTAACTAATCGTATGTAAGAACACCAGAAACTTGGAAGTTCATGTCACAGAGAGAAATTCAGTATTCAATAGATACCCACTGTCACACACATTTGAGAAAAAGGCCAGTCTTGTTTCTACTTTTAAAAATCACCTAATCTATATCTCAATCAATATTATTTGCAGGAGCAGTTTAATTTGGGAGGAAAGAAGACAACTGCATCCATTTTGTTTAAGTAAACTTGCTAAGTGTCTTTCTTCTGCAAGCCATCCAAGATCTTTATTCTAAGAAGTGAGGCAATTTATCTGAAAAATCATCTTATCAAAGTAAAATTTGAACTGAGAGAGGGAGAGCAAAATTAGGTGTTTTCTAAGTTTATTGATTTTAGGTCATGAAAGAAATGTCAGAGAGCCAATTTATAAAATTTTTACTCAAAGGAATCTCGCTATAGAGAGCTGGAGAGACTCTCCAGCACACACAACCATGAATGCAAGTTCCCCTCAAGCAAAACTTCTATTTCATCTTGATAGATTAAAATTGTCTGTTTAATCCCATAATTACACCTACTGTCCTAGATACTGCTGATTTTTGAAAAAGTGACTCTTAGCTACAGTTTTGAACTTTTAAGGTGATCTTCCATGCAAGCTTCATGATGTTTACTTTCTTCTTCACGCCTTCTTTCTCTTTCAAAACCATGAGATTAGATATTTACAACAGCAGAGTTCTTAGTGCCTAAAATTGTGTCAGCAGTGGTTCCAAAGACTATTTCTGGACTATAACCAGTTGTGAAACCAAAAATCTGTGCTTGAAATGAGGGGTTGAAAAGGATTAACCTCTCAAAGATGCTTCTTGGCTATCAGCTCAGTCATGAGTGTATCTGCACACAGCAGCAACCACCAACGATTAAGAGAGGACAGGGCAGAATTTAACTATAAAACCAACAGGGATATATATAGTATATACAGTTAACTATAAACCCAACCAATATAACTATAAAACCAACCAAGTCAGAGGCTAAGGAGGGCAAGCAACGTAAAGCCATTCAGGAAAGCCACATACTTGGTGCGCAAACTATGGCATTAAACATAACACAGCAAACACATGAATAAAATAGATTAAGCTTTTTTTCTCCCCCATGTTTCCTTTCTTAATACTTTCCTTCCTATTTGGCATTTCTCTTTTAGGTAATCAAGCCTAAAACATAACCCAAGGTAACGAGAAGTTGATCATGAGAATCATTCCAAAAGTAATAGTCCAAAGTTGCAGTATTTGAAAAGCATGAGACACCACCACCTGGCGATACTCTAAATGGGAATATTTTTGGATTATTAACCTCAGATGTCCCGTAAACAACTTGGTACAATATAGCAAACTAATGGATTATCTCAGCTGAGAGAAACAGATCTGCTTTCCTAACAATACGTATCCAGAATCCTATAGGCCTCTAATGCATTATTAGATAATCTGGCTGAAAGCTGTTCTATATTTAACACTTGATTCAATGCTGTCTTAGGATCCTACCAGTCAGTTTGCTATTTTGATGGTGTTATTTTAATTTCAGAGATACATTAGTAATGGGAGAACACAAACTGAAGCACCCCCAAACTAATTAACCCCAACGTAAGCACAGTGAGACATGAAAACAAAGTGTCGCATTTGACTTAAGCCAGCACAGAGCAGAAACACTATCCCATTCCACAGGGACAGAACAGCACCATTTAGAGGTACTTTAGAGAGAGGGCTAACAAACTTGGAAGTGGTTCCTACAAGGAACTAACTACAGTTAACTGAAAGTTGGTTTATGCCCAAAAGGATAACAGGCTTACATCCCTAAAGCAGAGGAAACGAAAGGACAAATTACTAGTTTCAAGGGAAAAAAGTGGATTAGCTGTTGGCCACAGTATCGTGCAGAAAAAGCTGATGAAATACAATTACACGACTGCTGCAGCTGGGTTGTTTTGCAAAGAAGAAATATGAAGTGGCATACAGACAATTTAAATGAAACAGTGACTAAAATCATTTTTACATCATCATGCCAGCACCAGGCCAACTGCTAGCATATAGGCATAAATTACCTAGGGGAATTACTTCCAAAAGTTTCAATGTTATCCATAATAAAGGGAAGACTGGCAGAAATAGGCCTACTTTCCCTTCACAAACCTATGTTTGATCAGAGATGTCACAAACATTCACCCATAAATACAAACCTTGCTATTTCCCCTTATAACACGGCAAGGGGAGTACTTAACACAACCAAAGTAGTACAGAAAACTACTCAGAAAAGCATGTTTACCGTATGTACTCATTCCTATTCACCTGGGAACAAAACATACAACAAATACTTCAGGCTTAAAATGCACTATTAAGTTTCTTTAAATCAGCATAGTCATTTATTTAAAGATAATCTATAAAGAGCGTGATGAAATAAAATCTGTGTTGAAATCACTAGCCAAATAGAGAAACGGAATTCCTTCATTCCTTTATTTTCACATACCTTGATGGGTATTTTAATGAGTAAGCAGCAGCCAGGAATCCACCAAGGTTGTGTCCAAGCAAGATCATTTTTTCTAACCCCACCTCCTTTCTCCATTCTTCTATGGATTCCACAAACTGATTTTCTGCTTCCTGAGCATCAGCATTGAAGTGTGGTCTACTGCTCCGTCCAAATCCCAAGAGGTCAAAAGCATGAACGGTCCTGTTCTCACAGAGGTCTTCAAAATTGAGAGCCCACAGTCCAACACCTCCTCCAAATCCATGCAGGAGAACAAGCGGAGTTTTACGTGAAAGCTCCGGAGAGAATGACAGTGTCCATATTTTATTTCCATTAGGTAGATACACATATCGTTTGTCATATGTGCTTGCAATACCTGAAGAAAGAGTAGGAAAAAAATGATGTTGCTAGATGTGCCAAATAAAATACAAGGTACATTCCACAGAAAACAGTTTTAAATAGGAGTTCTCTTTCAAAGGGGAGAGCCTACAAGCAAATATCTAAATAAGGGAACAATGAAAATCTAATTCTAAACCTGTTTATTTCACCACAGTGTAAAAACCATATTTAAAAACTTCTTTGATAGTACTTAATGTAAATTTATAGAAAATCTAGATTTAAGATTTGTATTTAAGATGTATATTTATAAATCTTATTAGAAACTAAAGACTTACATTTCAGCATTTTGTCCTCAGCCTCTTTAAGGTGTTGCAGTGATGTGGGACACCAGGCAGGAAGCCAGCTGAATAACCATCCTAACCTACAATAGGAATACATAATAAAAAATTCCTGAGCAAGCTGGTATTTTGTTGCATCATTTGATGCTTTGAAGACATTTTTTCTGCTGCTCTTCTTAAAAACACCCATGTTAACCACACGCCTTGCAGGACAAGAGTGCAGTGAGAGGGGGTTCGCTTTCTCCTGACTTTTATAAGGTGGTATCAGGCTAAGGGGTGTTCTCCAAACAGCCTGATGTTTCTCCACTGTGTGTTCCTTATCAGAGTGTACCTGATCTATCTCTGTCAGAGCAGGATTCTTCTGAGAACCTGAAGACATGAATCCTCATGCTGACCCGACAAGCCTGGCAGGATACACAACACAATCATTGGGGGTTTCCAGCCTCCTCTCAAGTTCCCTTGGAAGTCTGCCTGTTACCTTACATGAACCTACTATTTCCAGAAGAGCAATAAACCGTGCGCTCACCAGCCTAACCTCAACTGACTTATTCACTAGGTAAATTTAAAAGGTGAAAAATAAGCAGGTTTATTCTAGCAAAGCAAAAACCTAGGGTCTTTGTTACTAACTTAGAAACAAACTCCCAGAGGAAGACAGCACAGCAATATCAATTCCCCCAACAGAAGCTGCTCTTCCAGCTGTCAGTTTCTATCTCGGTAGCACTAGCTTGACCATGAGAGCAGGGGGAATGACTCAGCTAGCAGCATTGCCTCCCTGACAGTGCCTCGAAGGACACAGCAATCATGTCCTTGGTGCTAATATATCCCTTGTTTTCAGGACAGAATCCTCTTTTCCCCCTTTTGCCTGTTTTTGAAGTGGCTCAGACTATTAGTGCAAATGCTGCTACTGCAGGACCTCAGACCATTCCTCACAAGGAAAAGAATAAGGTCACTAAATTCACAACCAACTTTCTTTAGCACTTTTCTTCCTACACTGAACTGCTTTTCAGTTAATTACAATATTTTCAGGACTGAACACTGTAGTAGTTGCACATCAATTAATGTTAAATGACTATAAACTTGCTAATGTCCAATTTTTTAGAGCATAAACAACACATCAATAACAAACTACAGATCTGCCCATGAAGTTCCTTACCCAAAGGACCTTCTCCCCACATTTTAGGGGGCTGAGCTACTCCAGCTACATAGCTACTGAAGTTTATGGTACAACATGGAAGGTTTTCTGGGCATGCACAATGCAATCACAAGCAGCACTAGTTCATAGAAACCTATTAGGGGATATCAAGAGTGGGAAGGGATGGTTGTATGTCCTTCCATGCCATGTCCTCGTGCAATCTAAGAAATGAAGAAACTTGGCATCTTACAGAGATGGGCATCCAAGTGTTTTGTTTCCACATTAATCTCCATATTTAAAAGTAAGATTTTTAAGAGGTTAAAGCTGGCAGCAGCCAAAAGCAATTTCACCAGCAAGTAACTGAAATCTGAGTTTAACAGTATCGCTAGTTGTGTCCAATGTTATGAATTACTCTGGTAAATTATTAAACAACAGCTATGTCAACACGCTTCTGAGGCAAACTTTCTGCTAGTTCTATGCTCAACTAGGCATTTTCATTCATAACTTTTGGGTTAGAAGCATAAAAGACAGTCGCTGTTTCACCAAGCCAAAACTGTATGAAATGTTTCTTCTTGGCAAAACCACTGATTTAGCAAAGGAACTTCTTTAAAGAAAAGTATAGTTGCAACATGCCAACAAGACAGTACACAATGAAATAAAAATGAAATCTACAGTTCAGTCCCAGAATTTTATTTCCAAGTCTTAGGGAGACACTTGGATACTGAGAAAAAAATACTTAGAAAGTTGTATCAGAATGGGAAAGTTGGAACAGATGCCCATTCTTTCTTGTTAGTTATCAGTACTGTTTATAAACACTGAATCATCACACACGTATAGCTTGACAAATACAGTCAGCAAGCTGAAATGCTTTAAATAAAAATTATGTTCGCAATTGAGTCATTTTGTACTTGCTGAACTAAAAGAGCAAATGAAGAATGCTGTCAAAAAAGTGGTCACTTTCTAGAAACATATTTTATGAACAAAAATATTTAGTTCCCTATATTCCAGGCTTGATCCTTTATTTTTCCTCCCCCTCCTTCAAAAACTTTTTTACCACACTGTTAAATGTTTTCTACTTGTGGAGAACAACCACCTCTTTAATCTGTTTGAATCTTTTCTCTGACAGGTTTGGAAGACTTGAGTGTGGCTGTATCATTTCTTTTGTGTATCTTTGCTAAAATGTGTCTTCTAAATGCACACAAGAATGTCAATTGCTTACACGGCCTATCATTTTTATTTCTGTGATGTAAAGTTAAAACAGCTATGTAATGTCAAAAAGAATCAATGGACCTTTCAAGACAGTGCGCTCACCAGCAATGGAGATAACGTATTGTATGAAAGAAAACTAAAGATTTCGGCAGTAGTTTCACACTGTAAGGGAGCTACCCACTGCGAGAAGAGGCAGACCCCATGCTGCTCTCATCACCTACCACTTCCCAGATGCTTCATTTCCATCTTTCTTTTTACGTAAGAAATCTCAACAGTAGAATCTTGTATTTTGAGGGCTCAGCTGCTTGCTGTATCAGAAAGTGTGAAATAAATCTGGCAACTGATAGCCCAAATTTCTATCATTTTTATACTCACTGCACATGTGGGCGTTACACATCAAATTACTAGCGGAATTTAACCTGTGTATCTGTTTGTGGCCATGCGGTAACATAAACCAGTGCAAACATCCATGTTAAAATAAGCCATAATCAGTAGGGCAGAGCACACCATAGAACGTTACCTTGAATCTTCTCCCTGGGGTCAGTTACACTTTTTCACAGCCCCCTGAAGAAGCTCGGAGTACTGGAGGCTGCTGGCCTGCCAAGCGCTCAAAGAAGTCACTCCCTCTGCCAAAAGACCTCAACACTTGCCTGGGACAGGAGATCAGGAAGTAAGGAAAAGCCCCAGAGACACCCACTGAATGGCCTTGGATATGGAGAAAGTCAAGGTTATTGGTGTGAGGCTAGCAGTGAGACCATCAATGACCTATGCTGGCAACCAAACAGAGTAATAAATAATGAAAACAAAAGGGGCACAGGCACAGACATCTGACAGTATGGAGCTGTAACTGCTACACATGGGGACCAAGCCACCAGCCAGGACCTAACATGTAGACTGGCTGGGCCACGTGGCCTGTTTCCCTGGGTCCAAGAATACGAAAGGATAAAAATAAATGTTTAAAAATAAGTAATGATTACTATCTTTAGACAGCTAAGGAGTAAAGAATAACTGAATAGCATGTAAAATGTAACTAAGGATAATACTGCTTTTCCTTAGCTGCCTCAACGTTAATTTGAATCAAGAACTTGCCGTAACAGCACAGCTTACATTGCCCAAGGGTAACTTTCAAAAGAACTAAGAACCAAGTAGAGGCAGAGACCTAGTGAACCTGACTCACCCATCCACTTTAACTAACTAGGTCAAATTGGATGAAGAATGTGGCAAATAGATAACTCAAAAGCTACCATTCTGTCAGCTAGATTAATCCTACTTATCTTGGTGAGAACTGATAAAATATGAGACAACTGTACAGATCCGTAGCCAGTTACAAATCTGACATACTCTACAAAAAACTCATGAAAGCTTAGATAATGCTGAAAAACTGAAAACATCTATTGTAACACAGGTATGCACTCAAACAGGTGAACAGGGTATTGATACGACCCAGCAGTGTGCACTTCCAGCCCGCAAAGCCAACCGTATGCTGGGCTACATCAAAACACAGGCTGCGCAGAGAAGTTGTGCCTGCCATATCCCTTGCAGTGTTCAAGGAAAGGTTGACCTGAACTTGGAGCAACCTGCTCTAGTGGAAGGTGGCCCTACCTATGGCAGAGGGTTGGAACTGGATGAGCTTTAAGGTCCCTTCCAACTCAAACCATGTGTAATTCTATCTTTTATGTGGCTTGCTACATGGATTTTAAAAATGAAACTTTACTATATAAAGATGTTCAGCAGAAGTTGCTTATAACTGTATCTAGGAGATAAAAATCTACGTACATGGACCTTGTTCTCTCACTTTTCAAGCTTACAATTTACTTACATTAGAATTATACAAGCGCATGGCTTACAAGATGTATTAAGTTTAAAGTCATTCAACAGAGGCATCTTCCCATGCACACCACCATTGTAGAGCTAGTGGTAATAATCCATGGAAACACTGCTTGGCAAAAAAGCAAACCAAAATAATCTGTAAGAAACAAAACTCCCCTAAATCAGAAGAAATGAAAGCGACCAACACCATTTGCTACATGATGATTTACCAAAAATTGCTGACCCACTGAGACAGGACATGCAGAGATCTTTCTGCAGTGCTGAATATAAAATTGGCTTTTCACTAAGAATTTTGAAGTTAGTGTGGTAATCAAAACTCCCAGTATAGGCTAAGAAACAGGTGTTGAAAGGAGCACCAGTGACAGAAGTGTGGAGAATAGACCTTCCTGTCATGAAGATTGGCTGGACTTAAAAACAATGACATCACTAAGGAAGGCAGAGCTCAGGGTATACAACAATTACACAATAACTCCCAGAGGATTACAGGAATATAACTGAATGCACGAGCAACAGAGCTGCGTGTCTGTTTCCATCTTGCTCTCAGTAAAGATATTTAATATTTTTAACTGATTTTTTGCAGACAGTATTGCAAACTACCAAGGTTTTAGCTAGGGAATCAGCTGCCGAACTTAAAAAGCTGAAACACTGAGTGAACTCACTTGTAAACCGTTACAAGCTTTACCCTTTACCCTGAAATCAAGCTGATCTTTCAAAAACCCTAATCCTCTCCCCTCCTGACTGTCAGAAGTAATTCCAGCCATTTATAAGGAAGGGAAATAAGATCAAATTGATAGAGAGAATTTGTTGTACTGTTTCTGCATTGTGATTTTCGGGGCCATCCAGCTGGCATGGCAGTTACGAATGTCCATCAATTAGAGCTAGCCCCAAATTAAGAGAATCTTGCACTATAAC